AAGGGCCCATGTTTGGAGTATTCTGAATTCTCCTGAGGAACACCCAAGCCTTCCATGGGACCCGGGCCCTACCCTACTTTGGGTTCCCACACATTTCTGTCACACGTCCTAATCAACCTCAGAGCAGCTGCAATTTCCCAGGAAATGCTGCCAAAATCTGGTACTGAATGGAGAGGGCTGCTGCAGGGGCATGCTGCAGGGGAAGGCAGAGCAAGACAGGAATCCCCACCGCACACCCTGGGAGGAGCTGCATCCGGGACTTGTCCTCGCCCTACAGAGTTTCCCCCATGTCAGTTCACCCAATTATTTGTAACATCCTCCAAGAAGCAGGAAAACAAGAGGTTCAGGTCTCTCCAGGAAAAAAAAAAAAAAAAAAAACAGTGCATGTTCTTCCTATGCTGCAATCTGCCCCTCCACCAGCAGGAGGTGCTCCTTCCTACCCCACCCTGTACCATTTGGGGAATTTTCCCTAAGATGGGGGGCAGGGGTTGGAGAACAGCACTGAAACCCACACCAGGGAAGGAAATGGGACCTCTAGGAAATGTCACCCCAGGCGGTCTAGTTTTGAAATGGGAATTGGTTCTGCAAGCATAGCACCTGGGCAGGGCCCTGTTTTTCCTGCAGAAAAACCCTGTTCAGCGCTGCAGCCTGGCTGTCCACGACCCTCACCCTGCGGCCTCTGATGTGTTTCTCAGTAATGAGTCACAGCAGGGACCCAGCCACCACCTACATCTGTATGCACAGTGCCCCTGCGGCCTGCTTAGAAGTGGCGGCTCCTTTCTTCCCTCGTTTTCCTCCTCCTGCCACTCTTCGATTTCTCAAAAACAGCGCAAATAATTCTTCTTTGCCAACTAGCTCCTCCAGGTTCCAGGGCAGCTGACTCGATTGCTTAGGGGACATGTGCAGCCCTGGAAGAAATGAAAATCGGAGGGAGGTGGGGGAGGAATCGGTAAGCTGAGCCAAGAGAAAAAGACCATGTTGTCACAAAACAAGAAAAGAGATGACACACCTGGTTAAAGCTTTTGAATGTGTCAAACAGAAACCAGTCAGAGTCGGAGATGGGAGGGTGCCCAGGACAACCCGGAGACAAGGGGGCCGTCCCTGATGTGGACTCCCAAAGGTGTATCCAGCACAATCTGCAAGAACCTCTGTGGTTAATAGGTACATTAGCCTGCGTGGTCTGGAATGTTCTTTACACTTAACAGGACCACGGGTAATTACCAAGCAACCTGAACCTGGCTTCACAAGATGGAGATGATGAAGTATTTTCTCGGTAACCACATCGGTGTGATTTCATAATTACCGAGCTACATGGATTTGCCATGAAATTGAATAGTTAAAAGCAAAGAGTAATTGCCTGATATCTGTACTCTGTAATTTAGTATAATCTAATCATGGACAAAGCCCAAAAGAAAACACTCTGAAAGCGTTACATTTTTCTCCATACACCATTTATTATTGACATCCACTAATGTATTCCATGCGTCTAAAGGAACTCTAACCCACGCATACCAAAGTGTAAGCGTGGCCAAAAGGGTCAGTGTTTTATCTCGTTTCCAACAGATTATGAAAAGCAGGTGGCACAAGTGTCCACTAAACCTGTTCTGGTATTTTCCTGAGACTATTCATCCCCTTCACTGACACATCCCCAGACCTGGAGAGAAAACGGTGGCTTCCTCTTGCACAAAGCAGACACAAGGAGGCAAGAAGTTGGGAGCTCCACAGGTCATTCCAGTCCAAATCTAAGCCCCAAACAGCTTCTTCTTCTTTGCTTTTTTTTTTTTTTTCTTTTTGGCAGCACTGGGGGTTGACCCCAGGGGCATTTTCTGCTGAGCTACATCCGCAGCCCTTTTTGGGACAGAGTCTCACTAAATTCCCAAGGGCCTCACTAAATTGCCCAGGCTGCCCTCGAACAGCAATCCTCCTGCCTCAGCCTCCCCAGTGGATCACAGGCCTGTGCCACTACACCCAGCTTACACTCACTCCCCACTCCTCAGTGTGATGCCACCTGCAAAGTGGTTGAGAGGAAGCCTAGAATAGCTAAGGACCCCGGGCTGGGGCTGGGGCTCAGTGGCAGAGCACTTGCCTGGCTCGTGGGAGGCCCTGGGTTTGATCCTCAGCACCACATAAAAATTAATAAATAAAATAAAGCTATTGTGTCCAACTACTTCTTTAAAAAAAAAAAAAAAAGCTAAGGACCTCAACGAGGTGGATCAAGGACGAGTCCACAGTTGGAGAGCATCTTAGAGGATCTGATAAATGTGTGCAGGGCTTTTTGCAGGAAGAGGAGAATGGAACCCACTAAAAGATTTATGGCCATTATTATTGGTATAAGGCTCCGCAGAGACAGAGAGGCCAGCAGGAAGGCAGGCAGTGTGGTGGCCCTTCAGGAATCCAGAGGGTGCTCTGAGCAGCCCTCGCCTCTGCTAAATGTGTGGATGTGGTTACTAAGTAGCTATAGACACTGCGGCCTCTTTTTCCTCTTTTGCCTTTAATAAATCAGAAGACTGACAGCAGCCTGAGCCACTCACCTTTACCAAACTCCCACTAATGATGGAAAGGAGGGCGCAGCCATGAACTTTTACAGTGTTTTCCTTTTCTTTAAAATATGCTTTCCCTCACCCGACAGGCCCCTGGGAGAGCCAGTTGGACAGAGGTGGCTGAGGAGCCCTGAGGCCAAGCCCATCCCAGGGGCAGCATGTGGAAGGTTCTGCAGGGCAAAGTAAAGAACAGGCAAACAAACCCCACTAAAATGGGTAAAAGGGTGCCTTGGGGGTGAAAAATGTCAATGGAGGACAGAGGAGACCACAGAATTCCAGGAAAGGGGCAGGGCCAGAGCTGGGAGCTCAGGAGGCAAGCAGAAAGGCAGAGCCCTGGGAGGCAGTGGGCTACCACAAGGTTTCTCTCAGAGCTGGTGAAGAGGGGTACTGCCCGGCACCCACTGTTAAGAAGTTGGGAGCCTGGGAGCCTGTGGATGCTCCATACCAAGGCCTGTTAGACCCAGAAGCCACTATGGGGGCCATGGGTGGACCTGGGTGGCTGGAGACCACCACTACAAACATGCTGGGTTCCAGGCCAGAGGAAAGTCGACAGGATGTGGGGGAAGAGCTGTGGGCCATTTAGCCATAGGTGTGTATAGAAGTGGCAGCAGCATCTCTGCATACAAAGAAGATCAACAAAGCCCCCACTGTGTCCCACTACTGGGGTGGCTCCCATCAGTCCACATTTTTAAAGCGCCCTGAGATCCATTGTGATGGAACAGACCATAACTCTGAAACACTGCAACGTTCACTTTGTTTAAGCATCAGTTTCAAGCCCTCTCAGAACACACAGGGCCAGTATTGATGCCGAAAGGCTCATTCTTTATATATTGAACTGCACAGCTGCAAGGAGTAGCACAAATGTTACCAACTCATTTGTCATGCAAACAGTGCTTCAGAAAGAAATAAAATACTATTATGTGGTATATGTGTTAGGCAATCACTATATCAAATCCATGGCATTCCGTGCAAACACAGGCAGAGAAAAGGAAAACAACACTTGGTGAGAGAAATCGCACCACATGGGAGCAGCTAAGTCGGGGAGATGGGGAGGCTAACAACGGAAGCCTGACCATGCAGAGGCTGTAATTTTCCCAGCAATGTGGCCAGTGTTGAATACCCCTGAGGTACAGCAAGTGGCAGGAATGCAAAACCCTCACAGAGGAGCATGGCCCAGGGTCCCAGGGAGGGGATGGATTGATGTAGGACTGCTGGGTAAAGCTACAAGGAGATACCAGGGAGGGGGGCTGGGGAAGGCAAGAACTAATGGGAGGGCTGGAAACACTAAGCGTGCAATAAATGCTGGGAAAGGGAGCTGATGAAGGATGTGGAAGGAATATGAAGTGAGCAAGGGAGGGTGGGTAAGACAATGAACTACAGCTCTACTTCCATTGCCATCACTTCCCATGTTTCCCTTAGGGGCTTCCTGCTAAGAGCCTTCTTGTAACCAAATCGCCTGCCCTGTGGGAGGGTCTACACAGCACTGGCAGGGAAGATTTGGGTTAAATATAAACAAGTAAGAGAGTGTGCCAGGCACTGTCCTAAGCACCTTACACAAATTATTTCTTCTAATCCTTAAATAGCAACCCTATAAGGCTTATTGGCAAACAGGCTAGAAATGTTAATTGGATATGATCACACATCTAACAGTTGTAGAGTTGGGATTTAAAATCAAAGTCTCAGATCAAGAGCCCACATCTTAAGCCACAAGGACAGCATCAAGATTGGGAGTCTCTGGGGTCTCCCCTTACCTATCTCCCCTTATGAGAATCCTACCATGCAGCCACTCGGCCTCCTCTGAGCAGCCTCACCTTGCCAACTCCCAATCAGGGCATTTGGCTTTTCTGTTTTTCTGATGGGTGGGGTGTCCTATTCCAGGCTGGAGAGCAAGGAGGCCAGAATCTGTCCTAGGGCAGTGCTGCATGCACTTGGCGCTTAACTTTGGCCAAGTGCAAGGCCAGGAAAAGAAGCCAGCCCACAGCAGACTGAAATAGGGACAAACTCTCAGGGCATGCTACTGCCCAAACAAAACAGGATCAGACATTGGTCCTCAAGCACAGAAGGTGGCATATGATTTTGCCTCCTGACTGCTGGCAGTGGCTTGTCTCGAACTATTAAGCAATTCATCCATTAAATCAACCAGACTGAATACCTTCCACGTGCCAGGGACTGCTCTGGGGATGAAGGACTCTGAGTAAACAACGCTAGATCTAACAAACAAGAGGAAAGGAGAGGGGCGGAGCAACAGGAGAAAACAAAAAATTAAAATTCATGGGACCTCCCCAATATGGCGGCTCCAAAGCCGAGTTAGACCTCCTCATCATGGCCGACCTCCTCATCATGGCCGACCTCCTCATCATGGCCGACCTCCCCAATATGGCATCCGAGGCCGACCTTCCCATCATGGCGCAGGGCCCCGCCCGCTCCGCCGCGGCTGCTGGCGGGAGCAGTTCCGGGTGCGTTGCGCGCCGGGGGCGGGTGGGGGGCGGTGTCCTGGCCATGGCCGGCCTGTCGGACCTGGAGCTGCGGCGGGAGCTGCAGGCCCTGGGCTTCCAGCCAGGACCCATCACCGACACCACTCGGGACGTCTACCGCAACAAGCTGCGCCGTCTGCGGGGCGAGGCCCGGCTACGCGACGAGGAGCGGCTGAGGGAGGAGGCCCGGCAGCGGGGTCAGGACCGGCTGCGGGAGGAGGCCCGGCTACGCGAGGAGGCGCCGCTACGCGCCCGGCCAGCCGTGGCCTCTCTGCGGTCCGAGCCCTGGGTCTCCCCTCCGGCCTCGGGCCCGGCCTACACAACTGCCGGGGCCTATGGCGATCTCGGAGCCTCCGCATCTTCCTGGGCCGGGAGCCGCGGCCTGGCCTACCCCGCCCGCCCTGCGCCGCTCCGGCGACGCGCCTCGGTCCGGGGCAGCTCCGAGGAGGACGAGGATGCTCGGATGCCCGACAGGGCCGCACTGGGCCCGGCCCGCCGCTGGTGGGCCTCGTCCCCGTCCCTGGCGCGGCCGCCCTCTGCCCTCCTCAGTCCCGACCCGCGCCCAGGCCTGAGGGTCTCGCGAGCGGGCTCTGCGGGCGCCGCGCGGGCCCGGCCCGAAGTGGGGCGGCGGCTGGAGCGCTGTCTGTCTCGGCTCCTGCTCTGGGCCAGCCTGGGGCTGCTGCTCGTCTTCCTGGGCATCCTCTGGGTGAAGATGGGCAAGCCCCCGGCGCCGCAGGAGGCGGAGGACAACAGTACGTCCCGGGCCGGCACAGGGGAGGGCCGGGGGGCGCGAGTCCGCAGGGGCCACCGCCGGTCCAGCGCCAGGCCGCACAGCCCCGCGCCCTGTCGTGCCTGTCTTCCCAAACCCTCACTTCACTTCTCCCCGGCACTGCAGTGTCTTCTGCCTTCGCTTTCTTTTCTTACCTAGCCCTCCCTTCTAAAGCCTCCCTTTCTGCCACGTGCTGGCGTGGGGTTGAGTTCTCCAAACCTCTGGTTTTCCCTCTGGAGAGAAAGCCACATCCCCGCTAACACATCGACCCCGTCCCTTTTTTGGTTCTTCCTTTTGGGTCTCTTGCTCACTCACACTTTAGTCCCATTTGAAAGTCACCCCCCCACCCCCCAAGGCCACCCCCTGATTTGACTGGCCCACAAAGAGGATCTGGTTGGGGTCCCAGCTTTGCAGTGCCAAAGAGACACTGGGACCTTCATTTGTCAAAAAGTTTATGCTAGCCCTGCCTGCGGAACAGTTGTTGAAGAAGCTTTTGAAGGGCTTAAACTGATCCCAACTGAGGTGTTTGAATAAGGAGTTGAGAGGATCTGTGATTCAAGGAGGGTTCCAGACATCCTCTGTCCACACTTAAGTTACATAATTAGACACACCAATGAGAGGTCTGCAGGATATGGTATGTCTCCTGAAAAGCTGAGGGTTTATATGCTTTCCAAATGGGAAATTTGACTGTCCCTTTACTCTGGGCTCTAGTAGAAAAAAAAAAACAAACCATAATTTCAGTATAAATTTAGGTAAAAATGACACTATAGTTCACCAACTTTTAATATTCTTTGCAAAGCATGAATGTGATTAATACTATTCCCAGCTTCGAGTCAAGGCCACACCTTTTCAGTTGAAATACAGGAAAAAGCTGTCTTAGGTATTATGGCAAACGGATGTTTGGTTGTGTGCAAGTCTGTGAGCCTCGGGATCACAGACTTAGGCAGACATTCAAGTGATTCTTCCACTGTGAGAGCAGTTGACCAATCTGGGAGTAGTTTATCAACCTGCTAAAGAAATTAAGCAGAACTGAATGCCATGGTAGCTGTGTCATACAGTGTCATGTGCCCACTCACTACCAAAGTGCTTTAACACAACAGCTTTGGGAGCAGATACTGGAATTACCTGGAGTTCCCCACCCAGATGGTATTCATCCCTATTTAACATATTGTTGTTTACTGTTAATAAAACTGTCACACATGTTGTCTGTTTGGAGCCTAACTCCCTGGGTTAAGCAAGGAAGTCCTATTTGATCCCATTTTACAGATAAGTTGTTGAGTTGCTTGAGAACCTGTGACCACTGGGATGAGGACCCAATTATCTAAACTACTAATCCATGGTTGGGAAACGTGTACTTTTTATTGTCTCTCCATTTTAAGTGCCACATTTCCATGGCAACTTTCTAATCCCCTTATCTGTAATGTTTTACTTCTCCCAACTTTTGAGAGTGACTTTTAATCTCCTGTGTGTTTCTTTTTTTGGTCTCAGTGAAATTATTGCCAGTGGACTGTGAGAGGAAAACAGACGAGGTGAGTTTGAGTTTCTTATATTTCTCCTCTGTCAGGTGGAAACTTCCCCAGCAAAGATCATATTAAGGTCATTTTTAGGGAAAGCTTCCTGTAATGTACCAGAATCATGTCACACTCTGTGATGTTTGTGGCAGTGAAAGAAGACTTGAAATGCAGAGAACTGAGTCCCAAGGTCCAGTTCTGGGCTCATTACAGAGGCCTCCCATCAGTCATAGCACCAGGGACTTTGGTCTGCTGCCTGAGTTGATCCAAGGAGATGCAGTGGGTTGTTGAAGGGCCTCGAGCTTTCTGGCATCTGGCAGAAGTGCTGGTAGTTTCCAAGCATCAGGAGCTGTGTTCTCAATTCCATGTTCTCTGGTGTGCACTTGTGGCTCCGAAAACACTGTTCTGATTGGACGCATCAGAGGGGCTTGTTTGAAACACTGTGAGTGGAATTAGCCCTCTTAGTCTGTTTAGATTTGTTGTATGAAGCCCTGATAATTCCTACAAATAATATTTGGGGGAGGCGAGCAGCCCCACCCATTTATGATTCATGCAGAAGCAGCACCGGAACGGAACCTGGATGCTGGTGCTGATGTTAGTCTGGGGAAGATATGAGGCAGTAAATTTTCAGGTTATAAATCCTACCAGGAGGTGTCTTGTGCTGCTGGAGGGCATGACTTAGTAGTCTAATTACTAAGTGTACCATGCCAAGCCTCCGCAGCCTGGGGGCTGAGGAAGAAATGACGCATGGTCATCGGGACACCCTTGCATTGACTTCCGCACTTAATGAAGGGCATCCTGCTGCAGATAACCAGATTTATTTTCCCTTGGCTTCCGATGTGTCATATTTGGGGTGTTTTATAACATTCATTTGTTGTATTCATCCACCAAATACCATTGTTTCCCAGATGTTTTGCAAAAACAGATTCATAATAAGCTTACTCTGCCCCCATCGTAAATACTGCAGGTAATGATCAGAAGTGTTGCAGAAACAGAGGTGGCCAGAGGAGAAACTAGAATTTTGAAGACTGAAAGCAGAAATAGGAAAAAAATAACTTTTCTGTATGGTGATGTTAGTTTTGTCTGTCTTTTATTTAGAAAAGGGTCTCCTGGTTTCTAATTCTCAGTCTTTCACATCTCTAAGTGTGTCAGACCCCAAGTGAATGGCACATGTGCTCCCTGGCCTTCTGTGAGTATCATGCTCACGTCCCAACAGAGTGAGCCCTAGTACATCCTCCAGGTCCCCACTAAAGATGTGCTCAGTAACCAAACAGCTTTTCTCACCTGACGAGTGGCAGTTCAGATGCTGAATATTCCGTATTCCCAAACCTGCATCAGAGCACAGAATAGCCCGTCCTGGGCCTTATCCACACAGGCTTGTTGGGCCAACTTCATGGGCTTATGAAATGGCCTTCATAGAGGGTAGACTCAGGAGCTGGCAGATGGGGACATAATTCTTGGCTCCTGGGATTCTTGCTAAAGTCTCCTTTGGGTGGCTCCAGTCTCATCCAGGACCCAGACAGGCATTTGAGTATCTGATAAGTGTTCTTTTCCATCTCCACCATTGAGGACTGTGACACTTTGTGTTTTTCTTTCTGCATTTATGCTTGGGAATGTGGAGACAGGCTGGGAGTGGGTGTGTTGTCTTAATCAGGCCATCTCGTCGTCGTCTGGTACCTTCCTGTTTCCTTTGAGTGGTGTCAGCCTATGTTGAGTGATTTGTATGTGAGCTCACAAGAGTTCCGCTACAGTCCTTATGCAGAGGTCCCACCTAACCCTGTAGGAGGCAAGCCCATAGTTGGTGACCTTCTGCCCTGTGTCCTCTGAGCCCTACGAGATCTGGCAGTGATTCCTTTTCTCTCCGAGGAGTCTGGGCTGCTGGGTTCATCATCCCTCTTACTGGCCTTTATTCCAAGGAGCACTGCAGATGGCAGTCCTTTCGCTATTGTGTCTGCTTCTGCTACACAGCACCCTTCTCAGGAGCTTCACCTGATATTTATCACCTCTATTCCTAGGCACAGCACTTTGCAGAATTTCTGTGGGAAGCCATTCTCGCATGTGATTGGGCACCTCCCTGATTGGGTGTAAGGTGCTCTGGCTAAACTGTGTGGGAACTAATCCCCACCCTCTCCAGATGCGAGAGCCTGTCCGTGTGGGGGTGTGACTGACCATTGACCCTGAGACCAATCACTGACCCTGACCTTGGAATGCGGTCCCCCTCGACCGCATTCCAAGGTTTTCCCCTGAATTTTCCCCTGAATTTCTTGTTGTTCCCCAATAAAAGGCCACCCTCTGGCGTGCTCTCTCTCTCTCTCCTGCTAGTCCTGAGTAAGCCTTGCTGCCCCACCGGGTGGTTCGAGGCAGGAGCCAGAGGGAGGGCTGTCTCAGACCTGGTCAAAGAAAAAGGTAATTGAGTCTTGTGTGTTTATTTTGATCTCACTAGTTAACTTCTATGCTACGAACCTCTTGTATGAAGCCAGCGTGCTGGTCGCGCGGCTGAAATTTCTACCTTTTTTTTTTTCTTTTTTGAGACAGTATTTCATTATGTTGCCCAGACTGGTCTCAAATTCCTGGACTCAGGGGTTCTCCTATTCCCACCTCCTGGGTAGTTGGGACTACAGGCGTGCCCTATAGCACCCAGCTATTTCTGTTTTAAGAATTCCAGGGCTGAGGGTAGCATAACAGGGCCAAAGAGCAGAGAGCTCAGTGGTAGAGCTTTGCCAACCATGTCCACGGCCCTGGGTTCCATCCCCAGTACTGCAAAAAGAAATCAATTAGTTAAAATAATACCATGTTCCTTGCCGTCAAGACATACCTGATAGTGCAGCCATGGAGAGGTAGACACTGATGCGCACACCCATCACCGTCGCCCGCTGACCAGTGTCCTGTGCCTTTTCAGTTCTGCCAAGCCAAGCAGAAGGCCGCCTTGCTGGAGCTGCTGCATGAGCTGTACAACTTCCTGGCCATCCAAGCCGGTGAGTCGGCCACACACGCCCGCCGTCCTCCTGAGGGGGGTGGGGGGGCACCACTCTGGTTAGTCAGGCCACCAAGCCATGGTTATCCCCAGAAAATACCTTTAGTGGGTAAGCTTCAGCTTCCCACCTCCCCCTGGTGATGCCGTGGCGGTGCATCTTTAGTTCCCCAGGGTCCCCAAGCACAAATCTTTCAGCAAGATCCTCCCCCTTTTCTGGGATGCCTGATGCTCTGGGGGTTCGTGTTGGCACTGGAAGGGGCCAGGCCCAGATCTTCTCAGAGTCTCTGAGGACCTGGCTCTGCACGTCATTCCCCTGCTCAGAGCCTCCCTGGCCCTCACTGCCCGATGGGTGGCCTGTAACCCATCGCTGTCCCCAGTGGGGCCCAACTGACATTTCTCCTTCCCCTGAGAAGCAGCTGCTTCCTGGCTCTACCTGTCATTTGCTGCCTCTTTGGCCTGCCCCTCCCCCACATGCACATAACCAGTCCCAGCTGGGCTTCAGGATCTGGCTCACAGGCTTTCTTCCCCCCAGGGGCTGACCTGAGCCAGACAGTTGCCTGGGCCAGGGGAAAGGCCTCTTTCCTGTGTAGGCAGCAGGTGGTCTTCATGGCTGCCCATGGTGTCACATCTGGTCCTGATCATGCCTCCTAGCTGTAGGATCTTGGGCAAGTCCCTGATCCTCTAATGGCCTCAGTCTTCCTGTCTAACTGGATAATGTTGGATCTATCTTCTCTACAAAATGAGAGTCCAGCACTGTCCTTCAGCAGCCCCACTCATCCATAAGGGTCCCCTACCATTTCATTTGGTGAACTCGTGCTTTGAGACCAGAGAGGTCATCTACATTATTGTGTCCTCCCCCAACACCTAGCTTCTAGGAAGTTCTCAAAATCACCTGTGGGCAGCACAGGGGAGGGTGTGGGGCTCAAGCCTTGGTTAGATGTACTTGAACTGGACAGAGCAGTTCAGTGTTCTTGATGATTTATTTTGTTTGTTTATTTTTTGTTATTGTTTTGAGAAAAATGAAAAAAGACACTTTATTGGTTTACTAGAGAATACACAGTGGAGTCCTGACCCAGAAGCTGTGATTCTAACTGCCAGAGGGAAGAGTGGGCTTTTAAGGTGGGGATACAAAGGCCACACTGCATCTGGGCACTTCCAGAGTCAGGGATCTTTTGTAGTCTTGGACAGCCGTTTCTCAGATCCGCAGGTGCCAGCCCCAGTGTCTGGATTCCTTCACACCCGAGTCTGTGAGTCTAGGACAGACGGCCCAGCTCACAATGGGATGAAAGCTACCTTGTTCTTGGTTTCAGTGGTTCAGTCCATGGTCAGCTGGCTCTGTAGCCTTGTGCCCGAGGTGAGGCAGCACACCATGGCCAAAGGGCATGGCAGGGGATAGCTGCTCCGCTCTAACAGCCAGGAGGCAGGGAGAACAGCTCAGTCCTGAGGAACGTTCAAGAGCACTCTTACCTGAGAGGTCAGAGGACATCTGAGGCCTGTGGGATCAGCTCTTGTGTGAGAATTCACTGGGCAGTCAAAGTCAGATGGACTTGTATTGGACCCTCTGTCCTCAGGGTCAGTCTTGCGGTATCAGCTCTCCTGACCCTGGGAGACTAGAGATGATTGGGAGCACCTGAGAGCTCTCAAGGGAAGAGAGGAGTGGGGGCCACATATGACAGTCATCGATGAAGTCAAGGGCCCAGGACCTGAATGTAAATTCTGGCCTAAGTGCATGTTGCAGAGCTTTGCATCTTCTTCATGGTCCAAGGACTGGAGCAGCAGCATCACCTGGGACTATGTTGAAAATGCAGAATGAATTCCATGACCCATCCTGACCCAGTATTTTTAGAACAGTCTTGGGTTTTGTGTGTATCCTGAAGCTGAGAAGCTCTACCCTATTTTGGGTGCTAGTAGATATTATGCCACCATCCCTTTCTCCATGTTTGGTCCTGGCCTGTGTGATCAAGCCCTGGCACCTGCTGCCCCCTAGCCAGCCTGGCAAGGGCAGCTGGGAGGACATAGGTCTCACATAGATAGGCTACAGGGAAATGTGTGCTCTCCACAAGGCCACACCCTGCCCTCCCACTGGGGATCCCAGATAGCCTGGGTACTGATCTGCCTGTGCAGGATAGGAGATGACTCAGCCCAGAGTCCTGCTCGTGGTCTAGTAGAAGAGACCACCTACCTCCCTGGCCACTGGGTGATGGACAAGAACTGAGAGGGCGTGAGTCCAGGAGGCATAGTGCCTTTTAGCTGGAACAGTCAGGAAAGTGTCACAGGGGAGGGAGCCTCTGAGCCCAATCCTGAAGCCCAGGTAAGACTGGTTATGTGCATGTGGGGGAGGGGAAGGCCAAAAAGGCAGCAGATGACCGGCAGAGCCAGGAAGCAGCTGCTTCTCAGAGGAAAGAGAATGGGAGGGAATGATGTTTAGAAATGTCAGCTGGGCCCCACAGGGGACAGCAATGGTGCCAGGCCACCCATCAGGCAGTAAGGGCCAGGGAGGCTCTGAGCAGGGGAGTGATATGCAGAGTCGGGTGCCAAGAAGGCAAATGCGGCGACAACAGCTTGAGTGGCGCAGTGTCATTTAAGCAGAAGCACTTTAAAGCTTTATTGATAAAACGTGGGTTGGAAAGGGGACAGGAGAAAACCAATCAGGAGGCAGGTCAGGCCAACCTAGCCAGGGCAAGGATAGTCCAGGCAGGGCAGGAGGACAGAAGAAGCCACCTTGGTCTTGGGAGACACAGTCACGATCCACTATAAAGTGGGAGGATTTGGTTGGGGGTGGGTGGACAGGCTTGAGTTCATGCTCAAGAATGAACTGAATATCAGCCTTTGGGTCCTCCCTGCATGCAGACATGCAGAGACTGGCCGCTGAGGCCTCTGGCTGTGCCCAGGGAGGGCAGCCAGGCTGTGTGAGTGTTAAGCGTCTTGTGATGCCTGTACTGTCCCCACTCTCAGGGAGTCTAGTTGACCCATAGGACACAGCACACAGCAGTAAACCACAGCCACCTGAAGGAGGGCCAAGGGCTGTGGCAGGCCACCAGGTCTGAAGCAGGTTGGCCAAACGAGAGGCCCCATAGGCTACCTGGAGGACTGGGCAGGACTATGGGGGAAGCTCCTGGCTTCCCAGGTGTTGGGAGGCCCCACTGCCTAGTACAGACCCTGCCCTCTTTCTCCATGGGACCCTTTTGGATATCTCTCCCTAGGACCCTGAAAACAATGGACTTGTGTTGATCCAGGTTGCCAGCCTGTGTCATGATCAGAACCCCTGTGGTGCCCACAGCCTCCTGCCTTTTTTTCCAGGCTGTGTTTATTTATAGTGCCATTCCTGTACCTTCCCGGCTATGTGTCGGATCCTTTTAGGGATCAATTGCAAATAGGCCTCGGTATTGGGCAGCTTTTTAGTCATTTAATGCAAATCGCTGCACTGCTTTGCAGGTCAGGTTTTAATGATCTGGAATCGATCCAAGCTAAGTGGCTTTTGATCTTGCTGCAGAGTGAAGATGCCCCACAGAAGCCAGGGAACCGTCGGCCACATGCTCCTGATTAGAGCTGATGGCTTGATTTTTGCTGTATTTTTAGTCCAATTTCAGAGTAATTTTTTTTCACCTTTTCTCTGTATTTGAATCTGTCTTTTTTCCCCTCCTCTTAGGTAATTTTGAGTGTGGAAATCCAGAGAAGCTAAAAAGCAAATGCATTCCTGTTCTGGAAGCCCAGGAATATATAGCAGTGAGTAGGCTGCGCTCTTGCATTCCCAGGAGGGCTGGTGCTTTCCCATTGATCCTTCAAGCCCTACGGGCTTTTTACCCTTTTTGTTTTTTGTTTGCTTTGTGGCTTTTGGGCTTTCTTTCTTTTTTTCTTCTTTTTTTTTAACCTAGTGGAGCGTTAGTCCACCTTGAGTTAAGGTAGTGGTGGGGACCACTCCACTGCCTTTCCCTAGCTAGGTGGCCACTGCAGGCTTCCCCTAAGGGGCCTGTTGCTTCTCCTTTCATTAACTTTGCTCCACTCCTCAGCAGCTTTCTGGGCAAAATTTAACCTGTCCATTCTCTCCCTTTGTGATTCCGTTCAGACTGCTCAGGGTCCATTTGATTTTCTGTGTGGCCGCTGGCTGGTGAAATTTTGAAACTTTGGAGCTGGCGGGGACCTCAGAGGTCATCTAGTTCAATTTTCAATTCACAGACAAGGAAACTGAGGCCCAGAGAGGGTCAGGGACTTATCTGAGGCCACAGAGCTGCGTCTCTGTGTGGCTCCCACACCAGCGCAACCACACGGAGCCACCGGCTCTCTGGCTGAACGCGGCAGCCTTTGAGATAATGCTGTTCCTTTGGCGGCCTCAGGCCTGTGCTGTTTTCCTGGATGTGCTTCCGCATCACCTCCCCTGGTCAGAGTCTCTTCATGGCTCTCATCACCGCAGATTTCCTTGCTGCCAGTTTGCTGGGCATCTAGTGGAACAGGGCCTTGGGGAGTGTGGAGCCTGAGCGGAGCGGCTTCCTTAATCCAGCAGCAAAGTTCCGGCTGCTCCGCCCAGAGGCAGAACTAATCCCCCCTCCCCCACCCCACCAGAATGTGACCAGCAGCTCCTCTGCCAAGTTTGAAGCAGCGCTGACCTGGATACTGAGCAGCAACAAGGATGTGGGCATCTGGTGAGTGTGGGGCCGGGCGCGGGGTGGGGTTAACAAGGTGGAGACGGCTGCTACCATTGTTCTTACCTGACAGCTAACTCCCTTGCTCCCACAGAGGTCTTGGGTCTGAAGTAAGAGGCAGGATGTCCCAGCTGAGTCTGGCCCTGCCCAGGGATGAGGCTTTGGGGCTGCAGAGCAGGGGGCAGTTTCAGGAGGAGACACACCTCCCAGGCCTCTTGCTGCCCTGCCTCTCCTTGGTGCGAGTTTTCATTTTAGATGAAATGATTCTGTGTGTTGGTTTTACTCAGATGGAAATTGCTTGGGAAATACTGCATTTTATTCTGCCAGTCTGTTTCCGCCTCTTTGTTATCTCTGGCCACTGTTAGTGGAGATAGTGAGCCTTTCAGGAGGCTGAAAGGGCGGATGTGTCTGCTCAGCCAGGGGGAGGGGCACCAGCCAACAGCCTTGCCCCTTGGAGCCCCCTGCCAGGGGAGCCGGTCACAAAGTCCCTTGCTCAGCTCTGTGTTTGTGAGGATCTCTGTTCAGGCTCCAGCTCCCCATATTAAAACACACTCTAGGGTTCTGTTGGCTTCCTCTCTAATCCGCCCAAATTACTAATTCCATCAGCAGTGCATCCAGCAGAAGCCCCTTGGGTAGTGCAGCCTAGAGCTGGATAACTGGAAGCATGGCCCGATTAAAATTCACTGGCTTAGAGAAAGTGCTGCCCTGAGTGGCTGAGCGATTTTCCTGTGTTGGAAAAGGCAAAGGAGAATCCGGGTTCTCTCCCCCACAGTGCTCACTGAAGCCCCAACTCTGGAATGACAGCACCTGCCTTTGCACACTTGGGCAGGTGGTTGAGCTACTCAGATGACCAGTGTTGAAAATGGGTCACTTCCGATGGCAGCATTCCAGAGCTAGATGTCGTGCCCTCTCACTGGCTGGAAGAAGGGTCAGGTGTTCATATCCCACAAGTCTTGACACCTCCTTGCGTGGGACCTGGGCAGGAGCTTAGTAACAGGGGACTGGTCTTGAAGAGCCTAGTGGCTCCCATCTCAGAGCCTCACCAATGCCCCATGATCTTTACCCTTAAACAGCTTATGTGTCTGCTCGTCACGGAGAAGCGCAACCTCCTGGATCCTGTCTTTGAGTTCTTGCCATGCAATTGCAGAGCCAGTGATTCAGTAAACATTTCCATCTCTCTGTGCTGGGAGGTGGGAATCCAATTTACAGTTTAATCTTCCACACGCTGAGAAAGGCTGTCAAAGACCCAACAGAGGGGGACGTCACTTTAGCGGTAGGGGTTCAAGCTTGCTGCCGTCTTTAAAGGTTTATTCTAAGTAGCCAATGTGGGAAATTTCTGGAAAGAGCACAACCAGGATACCAGGATACCGAGCCTGTTCTATAAGCAAACAGAAGCCTGTGGTCCCTCTGTCCTTCCCCTGTTGGCCTCCCGCTGTTGAAGTAGGACTTTGGAATGTGTCTAGAGCCCTGTGTCCTCTTCCAGGTTAAAAGGGGAAGATCCGTCTGAGCTGGTGACAACTGTGGACAAGGTGGTCTGCCTGGAGTCTGCCCGCCCCCGCATGGGCGTTGGCTGCCGCCTGAGTCGTGCCCTGCTCACTGCGGTCACCCATGTGCTCATCTTCTTTTGGTGTAAGTCCTCTACCACCCTCCTTGCGCTCCCCCCCCCCGCCATCATGCCACTTGCAGGCAGTGCCTTGGGAGCACAGCGTGGTGCCCTCGTAGGCGTGAGTGATGAGGTGTAGGAATCCCATCCCGAGACTCGTTTCTGTCTGGTGAACTTGAGGTCTGTCTAATAAAACAGAGGAGATGAACAAGTCGGCCTCTGCCCTGGTCTGTCTTTACCTTTGGAGATTGGTGGCTAGAGCATTAGGATAACTAGAAATGTCCTTGATGCAGGCGGGGGACTGTCAGCTTCCCTGAGAGGAAGCTGGGGCGGGCGTCCAGGTGGTGCCACTTCTAGCACCTGCCAGGATCCCATCGTACAGACCACCTCCAAGCGGGAGGGACAGTGGGGGCTTGGCCTGATTCTACTCCTGAAAAATGTAAGCTCCTGGGGAGCTGCAGATACCCGATGAGAGCAGCAAGGACGTGCAGAGCGCTGCGCTGACAGGAAAGCAGGTCTCATCTCTTGGCATCAGGACCGCCTTTGAGCAGGGACCTCAGGGTGTCTCTGGAAGCAAAAGGCCAGGGCACAGAGACCACGGCTCTCCAGAGATAGCCAGAGCTGCGAACCACAGGCCTCCATGCATACCAGCCCTCCTGCGCCGTCAGGCCAAAAATCATTATCAGCAGCAGCAGCCCAGAACACAAAGGGCCGCCATGTATATATGTATGAATCGCCGTGTTCAGGTCCACGAGGGAGGAGATGAAAGCCCGGAATGAGGTGGGGAGGGGCCGAGAGCTGAATAGCTGGGGACGCCTCTGGTGACAGTAGCAGGAAGAGGATGATCACTTCCTAGCCATCCTCCCCATGTGTGTCTGCGTGCTTGCTTCCTGTGTGCTTGTCCTCTCCCTGATGCATAAGGTGCTTGGAACAGGATTGGCAGGTTGCTCTGCAGCACAGTATCTTGCCCACAGGGACACCGGCTAAGTGTCAGAACAGCCAAAGGACATGCCAGGGATTAACGGGGGCTTTGTTCCCTCACAGGCTTGGCTTTTCTGTGGGGGCTCCTGATTCTCCTGAAGTACCGGTGGAGGAAGTTAGAAGAGGAGGAACAGGCTATGTATGAGATGGTGAAGAAGATCATAGGTACGTGGCCCCTGTGGAAGGGCTGCCCCTGCTTGCCCATGGACCGTGCGCCCTGAACTCTGCATTTTCTCCTACAGACGTAGTCCAGGACCATTACGTGGACTGGGAGCAAGATATGGAGCGCTACCCGTACGTGGGCATCCTGCACGTGCGTGACACCCTCATCCCTCCACAGAGTCGGTGAGTCCTCTCTGGGGTTGCTGAGCCCCATGGAAAGGAAGCCCAGAGCCTGGCACCAACTGAGGGCACCTCCACTCAGTGTCCTGAGCAAATGGGGTGCCGTCCGCACCTCCTCCTGCTCCTGAGTGTGCTCTGCTCTTTAGGATGGAACGAGCTAGGCCAGACCTACAGAGCCTGGGCCTGCCCCTCTGTGGAGGTGCACTGAGTGCTGAGGCTACTGCAGAGCTGCGGGCCCCAGGGTCCCCACCTCTAGAGGCTTCTGCTCACAGGGTGTGATGGTGAGGGTTCTGTAGGTGGAAGTCCAGGGCGTCCAGGGTTCAAGGCAGAGCAGCCAGCTCTTCCTCCACTGCTCTGTGATTCTCATAGTCCCATCTCCACATAGATGCAGTTGGAGGGCTTGTCCCTTGTGGTCACAAGTGGTGACTACCAGCAGCTAGAGCAAAGTCTATCTTGTCACAGCTGGCAGTGGAGAAGTGGGCTTCTTGTCACTCTTATAAGTAAGAGAAAGCTTTCCCAATGGCCTCCTGGGACACACTCCTTGTGACTCTTTGACCAAAATTGGTTCCTTGACTTATCTTTGAGTCAGTCACTGGTGAGGAGGGAGAGGTAGTCTTCACACTTTATGACCATGACCCCACAATCAGAAATCAGCTACAATACCATGGTCCAGTTCCCACACACACGTGTGCACACACACATGCACATATATGTAATCGAAAGCAGTTTTACAACAATCCATAGGGTTAGTTCCCAGGAAACAGGGCTGCTAGAAAGGGCCAGCAGGGCCGTGGTCACACATTACCGCAGGGCATCTTCCACAGGGCCGTGGCTGCTGGGGTGATGCTCCCTGCTCCTGATAGTCCTGGTGTCGGGTGGCATCAGGGGCAGAATCTGAAGAGACAGCCACCAGGGCTCACCACAGTATCACCTCAAATGGTGGCTCCTGCACAGCTGACTGACCCCATCTCTATCACACACTTACCTGCTGGATGTCACTAAGAGGCCACTGCCCCGAACCCTGCACAGGCCTCACCTGGCCTCACCACAGGGAGGGCCCTATTTGACAGCTGAAGCACAGGCACTTGCTCAGTCCCACAGCCAGTGGTGCTTCTGTCGCTGCCACCACCAGACTCTCTGATCACCCCTCTCTGTGCAACCCCTGAGGAACTGGAGAATTAGAACATTTAAGGGTCTGTTTTAAACACGAAGGTGCTTGACAGCCTTCCTGCCCATCCAGCCCCTGGCAGAGGTGGCAGTCAGGAAGCTGAGGGAGAGCAGATGTCTGAGTGTGCACATGTGTGCTGTTGGTCCTCAGGCAGTCACACGGCTCTTAAACTCCCAGAAGGGCCACTCGGTGCACTCAAGCTCCTGCCTCATTCCTGGTCCTGCCAGGAGTCATCTTGTGACCCTGGGCAACTCACGCAACCTCTCTGAGCCATGTTTTCCTCATGATAAAACAGGATTCCATGACCTTTCAGAGAATTTTGGGGAAGAAAGTCCGTCCTTCATGCATCATTTATTCTACGAATGTTTGTTGAGCACCAACTAAGTGCCAGTTACCAAGGGGAGAGAGTGATGAGGGAAAAACAAGAATCCCTGCCCTGCTGGAGCTCTTGTTCTAGAGAAGGAGACAGATGACAAGAAGCATAAGGAAACTGTGTGGTGTGGGTAGTGAAAAGCCTAAAGAGGAAGGGGCCAGGGACATCAAAGAGGTGGCCTTAAAGCTTAGCCAAGGGTAGCCATTAGCACTTGAGCTGAACTAATACCCAACGTGCACATTCCCTTCAACAAGAACATGAGGTGGCTTGGCAGCTGGCCTGCAGCTACAGCCACCTGGGCCTGAGCTCCTGTATTTTAGCACAGACGTGGAGAGCTGCTGCCCTGCAGAGTGTAAGCCCATCCTGCTCCCCAGGAGGCCACTCCCCCTGTGGCTCTCAACCCATCTCCTGAGGCACCCAGTACTTCCAGACCTCCCCATAGATAGATGAGGGCCTGCTTCAAGAGCCAGAGGGAGATCTGAAGAGCTTGTTTAGTGAGAAAGCAGGGTCGCTGACTGGAGCAGCCGGCTCAGGCCAGGCTTGTTCATTACCCGTTAATGGTGAGCCTGGAACGGGGACTGGGTGAGGAGCTGGTGGGCTCAATGTGGACTGCCACCTCCTCAGGCCCAGTAGGCAATGGGAGCTCAGACTCAGAGCCCAGTCCCCAGGGAGTATGTGGCCTTGGCCAGACCAACCAAATGGAAGCTGCCGATCAGGGTTGTGGTGACGCCTGGCCCCCAGGGAAGAAAGCTGCTGCACCCCAAGGCCACCCTGCCCTCACATTTGTCTTTCCTGGATGACCCTACTGCCCCACACATGTGACCCTTCCCTGGTTCTCTTACACACCGAGTCCTGAGGAGATGGTCTCCAGTCTGAGGCCTGTGTGACACTGGAGCTCATCAGAGGGTAGATGTGAAAGCAGCCTCCTCAACAGCCCTGTCGAGTCTCCACTGGGGAAGAGGAGATGGGAAAGGGGCTGGGGAGCGGGGGAGGCCCCAGGGACCCAGCAGGAGCTCTACCCCTGGAAGGAACCCTCCCTGGTGGCTGTGATCCCTCTCTTCTGGGCCTCCCTGGTCCAGGTGTGTATTCATCCCTATCCCCCAATCGCTGTGGAATCTGGACTCAGCGACCCCTCTACTTGGCATGCAGATGGAGCTGGCACAGTAGTACAGCCTGCCTGGCCAGGGCCACTGCAGTCACGGCCCAGCTAGAAGCAGCGAGCCCACCACAGCCCCTCACGTTTGGACCTGGAGGCCCCAGATACAGTCCGCCCCTTTCAGCTCCCTCTAATTGGATGCTTTTGTAGCCGAGAAGATCGAAGAGTTATTTGAGTGTGGCCCAGGAAATTTCCGTCCTCTGTGGTTTGTCATATTAGTCAACGGCTCTTCCTCCCCAGACTGCACTGGAACTTGGAAACTTGTCCCCTTTTGTAGAAAGGGCTTGACAAGCCTGCTCCCTTGGGGTGAGACTGGCCTGCTGAGCCCTGCCCATCTCCTTATAGGAGGCGCATGAAGCGGGTATGGGACCGCGCCGTGGAGTTCCTGGCCTCCAATGAATCCCGGATCCAGACAGAGTCCCACCGCGTGGCTGGAGAAGACATGCTGGTGTGGAGATGGACTAAGCCCTCCTCCTTTTCTGACTCAGAGCGATAAGTCCAGGCAGGGAGTCTGTTCCCAGTCAGCCTGTCCCAGGACAGCCCACACCAGGGCGAGGGTCACCAGACCTGCTGGTGCTGAATTCACACTTGCCTTGACTATTCACCCTCCTGACTCCAGCCCCAAGGCCTCTCTGAAAGATTTCAGAATTGTTAGCTCCTCAGGAAAACATGGGCTTCCTTTAAGGGTGGAGGGGCAAAGCCAGGAGTGCAGCCCATCCTCTCTGCCTCCTTTTTGGCAGAAAGGGGGAGGAGGGTTTGTTTTCCATGAATAGAAAACAAAAGGGCAGCCGCTGTGAGACCTGTGGAAGCCTGAGGCTGGTGGGCTGGAGCGGCCTGGCCAGGAGATGCCCAGTGAGTCTGCCTGGCTTGGGAGGTGGGTCAGGGATGGTGGGATGGGGCAGCAGGGGCGTAGGGGAGTGACTTGGTCCATGTGCCTTGGGGGTGAGGGAGAAAGCCTGTCCTGTGACTGGGTGGGCTGCTTTTGTCCTAAAAGGGGAAGATGCTAGAAATTAGAACCAGTGACTATAGAGGAACTGTCCAGAAGCACTGGGCCCTGGTCTTCAGGGCCTCAGGGGGGGGAGGAGGGAGCTGCTGGCATGGCCTCCAGGAAGGAGCCGAGTCTGGTTAGAGGACAAGAACAGAGGGTCGGTCTGCCCTGCAGCCATCAGTTAGCTCTTCAGTGCTACTTCTCACAGAAGTTGTTGTTTCAGAGCAGACTTGCAGCCAGGGGTCGTGTCAGGCTGAGAATGCAGGACTCTGGGAGCCTCGCATCAGGGCTGAGAGCCTCCTGCGGGCCAAGATCACCTTGTCTTACTGTGACCACCGCCTCCCCACCGGGCGGGCTGTTTACCCATAGCCTGCAGTCTGTACCGGCGGCGGCCGCACACTGCCCCCTGCTGGCCGCCCCGGAGTGGCTACCGCGCTGCCGCCTGCTGGTCAGCCTGCGCCCGCCTGCAGGAGGACGGCTGCAGAAACACCCGGTGGGGGGCCTTATTAGTTAAGTGCGGAGCCTCTCCAGCGAGGCTCATCTCTTACGTCCTCATTGGTGCTGGGCAGGAGACTGGAGCAAGCAGAGGAGACAACTGCTGCCTGCAGAAGACACCGACTGCCCCTTTCTGGGCTTACTGGTGTTTGTTTCTTAATAAAGCTCCAGTCTGCCTGGTTTGAGCAATACTCTCATTTCCTCTGATGTCTAGGTGATCGGCAGGGCTGGCACCAGCACCCGGGTGACCAGGCTCTGTTCTCATAATCAGGCTTCAGCCAGAATAAGAACTGTCACAGGCTTCAGTATCAGGGTGAAACTTGGATAAATAAACTATTTATTAAAAATGGATATGTTTCTCCTCCATGGTGCTTTGCCTTTCCCCCAGAGGAATGCAGCACGGGATTGGTAAGCCTGGCTCCTGGAGAGGGCCGATGGGAGAGGCACCTGCTCCTCCAGGCCTCCGCTGTTTAGTGACAGGTCCTGAGCAGGTCGCAGCACTGGGAGCCTGTTTCCACATTTTTAAAGCTGGGTGACCGCCTCTCCGCAGGGAAGCTATAGGATTGGAACTCAGCAGGGCCCAAATGATCCCAGTGGGTGGCCAGGAGTAGGGGATCAATAAGGCCTTTTTCCTTTAGCTCCATCGCTGCCTCTCCTCAAGGCCCCCCAGGTTCCTCTGGGGCTCTCTGCACCAGCAGGGAAGGGAGGAAGGCAGAACAGAGAGGTTGGGTGGGCTCTCCAGCAGCTGATGACGTCCGTTAAGAAGCAGGCCTCTTACCTCTGGCCCCAGCCATTGGGGTGACTACCAAATGGCTAGTGTGCCGAGCATGTGTGGCCTGTGGCCATGGTGCTTTGGGGAGGCAGGGCTGGAAGCATTGGGGTTCCTCCAAGGCTTGGGGATTGGCATCAGGATGCAGACAGGGCCTTCTTGTTTGCAAGGGCCCAAGATCAGTATCCCAGGAAGGCAGCCTCCCAGCTGTGCCTCCTAAGGTCTGTAGCCAGTCGTGGCCACCTTCCTGTCCACATGTGTCCCAACCTGTTATGGTCCCCTTGGCATGCCATGTTTTTAATCTGAAGCTGATCAGGGAGCCAGTGCAGGGTTCTATTGCTGGGAAGCTGTTTGGAAAGCAGAAGCCAGATCAAAACAAAGGGAACACCAAAGGCCCCTCCGCCCAGCTCCTCCTCTACGGTAGGCAGTGGCATCTGAGCCCAGCCGCCGGGGCAGACTCAGCCTCATGCAGAGCTGCAGACATTTCTGAACCAACTTCGCAGGTTTCCTCAGCTTTGAGGGCCCAGCCTCGCTTTTAAGCAGCTCTCAAAGGATGACACAGGGTGGCAGGGTCTGCCTGAGGGGGTTCTGAGGGCATCCTGGGACGGGTGCTTTGCTGAGAAGTTTTAGTTGCTCTGCCAGAAGCCCTTCGGAGTGCTCACCAGGTCACAGATCTGTCTCTCCTCAGTGACAAACAGCCCTCTTGGGCCCTGGTGGGCACCATAAAGAAGTTTGGGGAGTGAGGAAGGGAGAAGCTGTACCCCACAAATCTCAGCTATGGACATCCACCCAGGCGCTCCAAGCCACCTTCCTGAGGCTCTACTAGGGAAGAAGGTAAACACAGCCATTTGTCACTGACTTATCATAAGAGCTGCGGTAGCAGCTGTTCCCCCTTAATTAATGCACCATCGACTTTGAGCCTCAAAAATCCCTTTGCTGAAGCACGGGTGTGGACTCAAATTCATTATCCTGTTGGCCTCCTCCAAAGGGAAGGGGCAGAGGAGCAGCTATAAGTTACCTAACTGTTCCAAAAGTCCTCCCTGGGGTGGCCAGACCAGCTTGTCTCCAGAGAAAGTTCTGGCAACAAGGACAGAATATGGACAGAGGGTCCCACGATGCACCAGAGACAAGGAAAGCAGAGGGCTCCATGGGCACTGTGCCACCTGGCAACTCCATGTGTCTCAGGGCTGATGCTACACCCTGTCTACCACGCGGCCTGCGCAATGGTTTCATTAATGAGGTTCTAGGCATAAAGTTAGCTAGAAGAGATCGAAATAAAACACACAGACTCATTACCTTATTTCTATTGCTAGGTCCAAGACGGCTCCCCTCTCTGGTTCGCTCCTCTAGCCACCCAGCAGGGCAGCAGGGATTACTCAGGGCTAGCAGGAGAGAGAGAGAGAACACGCCGGGAATCAGCCTTTTATTGGGGAACAAGAGATTCAGGGGAGAATTCCATCCAATGAAGGTTGAGGGGGGACTGCACTCCAAGGTCAGGGTCAGTGATTGGGTCCCCAGGGTCAGTGGTCAGGCACACCCCCACACGGATGGGCTCTCTCATCAGGAAAGGGTCAGGAAAGCTTCAACACAGCCAAAGTGCCTCAGGCCCTTAACGGGAGTCACCCAATCACCTGTTAGAATGGCTTCCCACAACCCGGGTGTGGCAAAGCATGGGCTTCAGCATCCCCAAGACCAGCTCTGTCCTTCAATAGCTGGGGTCCTTGGGCAACTCACTCTGTCCCTGTAGCAAGGAGAGCTGATCTCAGGTCTGCTGTACTGCTATGGGTCTGCCAGAACATCACAAAGCTTCATTCCACAGGAAGAGCCAGGATCTCTCAGAGGCTCTGGGAGGTTTGGTGGTCTGCCCGCAGCCCAGGGCTCCTCTGGTCTTTTCTCCTCTGCTGTTTCCCACACTGCCCAGCCACACCTCTCACTGCACTGACCCTCACCAGCCAGCTTCTGCCTCAGGACATTTGTGCTTGCTGTACATTTGCTCTGCATCCCCCAGACATCCACAGGGCTCATTCTCTCTGTCCTTGTCTCTATCCCCGTGCAAGGTTGTACTTGCTCCCCACCCTGCATGTTCTCTAGGGACCTACCCTTTCTTCTCCCCCTAAACCTGGCCCATTACACACTTTACTTATTCTTGCTGTCTCGCCGTCACCATTTCAATGGCAGTTCCGCTCCTCGAGGCATGAATATTTGTCTGGCCCATGCACTGCTGTCTGACCAGCTTTTAGAACAGTGCCTGGCACACAATAGGCATTCATTAAATATCGAATAAAAAAAATGAATGGAAACGTCCATCTCAGAAGGGAGAGCCAGGCCTCAAGTCTTAAAGGCCTGAATTCCTCCAGTTCTATTCAGATTAGTGCTGTTTGTTTTTCCTTTTCAAACTGAGCAACTTGAGGACATCCCCACTGTCTGACCTGCAATGAACCCCAGCATGCTCCACTGCCTTGCCGCAGGCACCTGTCCCTGAAGGATGCTCCCTGGGCGGGTTGTCTCCCTGCCCCAGGGAAGCAGCACCGCATTGGCTGCAGAGGGGACCAGGTTGGACTATCAGAGATGCCGGAGCAGGTGTGTGTGCTGCATTTCAAATGGGACAACAGTACAACAGTGGAGACTCACCCGTCCTGCAGCACCACATGACACAGGAAGTCATGGGCAGGGTCCAGGCCAGGCCTCTCCCCTCTGCCCAGCGCTCATTCAGACAAGGTCCAGAATGAGGCCTCCACAGCGTGACTTCACACCAGCCTGTGAATGACAGCTTGGAGCAGATTTTCCTTGATTTCTAAGAAAAGTAACTGGATCTTTCTCTCAGAGTTGCTCCAGTTCTGTCGCAGGCCCCTCCATGAAGTCAAGGGCAAGCATCTAAAAGTCCCAAGGGTGTGGCGAAACTCCAGTGTGGGCAGCTGCTTTGCAAATCATGGAAGTGCTGCCCACCAAGGGTCCAGGCCCAGGCTGTCCCGGGGTGTGCAGATCAGCAAGAAGAGGAATGGGAAAGAGCTACAGAACAGCTCTGAGGAGAAGGGGAGAGGACTCGTCGCTGGTGATGGCAGCCCAGCTTCTGAGCTGCTTCGTTCCGTAAGGAGACAGGGGAAAGTACAGTAATTTTCTTCAATGAAAACAGGCAACAGAATTCCCTTTGCCTCGTTCCCCTTGCAATTAAGCCCTTCTCTGCAAATGAAATGATTTGGTTTTCATGGGACTAATTTAAGCACACTGGAAGGACCGCTGAACTTTCTGATTGCAAACAGCAGCGTGCGTAGAACAGTCTGGCAGCCATGCGGGCTGATGAGCGGCCCAGCCACGGAGACCAGGGCTTGGCAGGGAGTGCTGCGCTGCTCCTCCACAACCCGCTCTGTGCGGCTCCAGCCCTCTCCTCTCCAGCCCCATCTCCCCTTCCCAAGCAAGGAGGCTGGACTAGATCCCAGCTGCAGTGGCAGGAGCCTCTGGCACCTTGGTGATGGCTTGGCAATGACACGCACCCTTTGCCACCCCTTTCACCAAAAGGTGGCATCTGTTTCTTCTGCCTTGAATCCAGGAGGGCCCTGTGACTGCTCTGACCAATGGAATGTGACCAGCAAGACACTGACCAGTTCCCAACGGGCCCTTCAGAGGCCTTGTCACTTCTGCTTTTGCCCTTTGGGGTTACCAAGCCACCACAGAAAGAGGTCTGGCCACCCTATGGGACAGGCCTTCTGGGGAGCCGCTAAGGCATCCCATCTGATATGTGGGCCAGGTTCCCTGGTATCAGGTTTGTTCTGAGTGGTCAGATAAGCATGCCCCCAAGCCCTGCTCCAAGCCCAAGAATCACAGATAAATAAATGGGAGTCATCTTAAGCCACTAAGATCATATTATTAGCTGGGTGTGGCGGTGAATGTCTGTAATCCCAATGGCTCAGGAGGCTGAGGCGGGAGGATCACAAGTTCAAAGCCAGCCTCAACAATGTAGTGAGGCCTTAAGCAACTTAACAAGACCCTGACTCAAAATAAAATATAAAAACAGACTGTGGATGTAGTTCAGTGGTTAAGTGGCCCTGGGTTCAATTCCTGGTACCAAAATAAATAAATAAAAGATTGTATTATTATTACTATGATTAATAATATCAAATAGTTTTCATATTTTATATGAAATAGTCCAAGATTCCCAAGAAGACACACAAAGATAGTACAGAATTCACAGGTAACCTTCACCCTGCTTATCTCAAGGATGACATCCCACAGGACCAAAGCATGTTGTCACACCCAGGAAGTTGGCCTGGATACTATACTGTCAACCCAGGAATGGGACCTACTTCAGTTTCACCATCTTTTTCTGCACTTGTGTGTAGGTCTGGGTATTATGATGGGATGAGGGTCCTAAGAAATATCATCTCAGGAATCCACTAGGGCTTGGGTGGTCTGTCACCCCCGACAGATGAACAATCCCTGCAGAGGTGTGTTCCCCCAGGAGTGTGTGTTACCCGGCATTCTTCAATTGAATGAGACAGAAACACAGCTCTGAAAAACTTGTGCAGGGGGTGACTTTGTCAGCTCGCATAATCCCACCCTCTGAGAAGCAGGGAGGCCTAGAGTG